TCCTTCCTGAGTTTCACACTCCTTTTTTCTTAGGGTAAGTCTTTCTTGTACCTTAGCTATAGACTCCCGAACCACTCTTGTATGATCTGCATAAAAACAACACTCTTCCCCTAGAGCCGCACACAATCCTCCTTGTTGGAGAAGTATAAGATCTAGCCCCCGGCGGTTCTGTAACACGACCTCTGATAACGAGGTTAAAGATTTCTCTAAATGTGAGATAGAGGTTTCTATTCTTTCAAGGTCTTCATTTATAGCTGCTCTCAGGGAATTCATGCTTTGATTCTGTACAGTTAAGGAAGCTATTCCCAGACCGGTCCCTGCTCAGCTAACCAGAATAGCTAGAGTAAAGGCTATAGTGAGTGTTTCTCTTTTTACTCTATTAGTCCCGCTCCAGTGTACATACATCTCTTCCTCTGGGTGGTAAAGAATTCGGGGCAGGACAGTCACTAGTACACAATGATCTGAGCACAGATTAAGTACTTTCAAGTTTAAACAGGGTAAAAGTCCAGCTTTCGAGCAAAGCTACCAACCCCCTTCCCTGGGAATGATCCAGTTAAAGGACGGGTTTATTTCAGTATATGAGGTGCAACGCTCTTGAGCGTTGGTGGGTTTCCCCACGCATAAGCTCTTTCCTGTTATACATTGTATAGTAACTCCTACCTTACAGTCTTTCCAGGAGCAATTCTTTGGGTTCAGGTCATGAGAATAGCTGAAAGAGGTATTAATGCTTATTGCTTCATAAAATGGAGGTTTTACATCGTAACAGAGCTAGCAGGCTTGAGTCAGGTTAGGACTAGTACGGTTGAGTGTTCGGTAGGCTGCTAGCATTAAATTCCAAAGAGGGTCTATGTTCTGAGGATTGGCTTGGACCTTCGGAGTTGTATGGGGGACACTTACTGTAACATCAGGGGTTACAGTGCTCGATTCTTTCACCGTCTTTCTTGTATGGGGTAGGGTTCCTTTTCCTGGGGGTTTTAACACTTCATTGGACCTACTGGCCCAGCATCTAATGGCTCTACTTCCTGTAAAATGGTTATCACCCCAGAGAGGTATCCCCTATACCAAATTTGGAGACCCCAAGTAAGCCCGGATTTCCACTTAGCTAATTCCTTCTTTCCCTGTTCAGTGAACGAGACTTTCACCCAGTCACATTCCTTACATTTTCCTAACGTATAAGTATGTCTGGGCTTGGCAAAGGAGAATGTTACATAGTCCTGGGCTTTTACATGCTACTTCCATTCCCCATCATTAGAAGTCATGCAACTCCAACTTTTGCAGTAATACCAAATGAGCCCCCCGCATTGCTGGACATTTCTTTTGTACCTAGGGCATGCAAAAAAAACCCATCTTACGGATAAAACCTTCATCCCAGGAACAGTCAGTAAGTGTCGCGAGCGAGAAAAATAAATCAGGCTACCATACGTTAAGGGGGGTGGTATGGGTGGTGGAGTTTAAGGTCTCATGGGTTTGTCTGTCATGAATTCGCTATGTAACTTTATAGGGTTGGTGAGTCGCAGTACTTATCGTGAGGCAGTAGAAGCTTAGGGTGAGGACGAGAAGGACTCCAATCTCCATGGTGCTGCATTAACTTGACTTTCAGCGGGTTTTCAGGATCGGAGTACGCTTTCCAATTCACTCATGCAGACTGCTGTTCCATCTGGTTAGCTCTCCTGATATGGGAGTGGTGTATCCAGGCGCTGACTCCGTCTACTGGTATGGCAGAGGGTTTTAAGTCCACAATGATGGGCAGCCGGTGTTTCGCTAATCCAATTCCTCCAGTTTCTGCCCAAGCTTAGGGAAACTCTTCCAGCTACAGAGCCATATCTGTTAAGCTTGTACGTTGGTTTTCTACACCTTCTGATTGCTCAAAATCCCAGCCGGGACGAGATAATGGGAACCAAGCGTCAATTAAATTCTGAAGCGTTGTCGGCTGCTCATTGTCTCTGGGCACATTTTTCCTGGCTTCGGTCAAGATTCTCTCTTTTTCTTCAGTGGTGAACAAAACCTGAAATAGGTACTGACAATCATCCCAAGTGGGGTTATCAGTAAACAATATAGAATCTAACAAATTAATTAGGCTTTGGGGGTTTTCAGAAAAGGGGGTGTTCTGTGCTTTCTAGTTATACAGGTCCGACATTGAAAACGGCCAGTACTGCCAGGTTCTGCTTCCGTTCTCACGGGGTGGGCCTATCACTCTGAGGGGCAGTGCCTGGACAGTGGACAATGGGGTTTCAGCTTCCTGGGAGCCCCTCTGGCATGGGCGGAGACCGGAGGCTGGGCCCGTAATGACGGGCGGCGCACTTGGAGCACTCGCTCCACTTCCTCCCGATACTTGTGGAGCTTGGAGAGGGTGGGAAGGTGGCGTAGGGGCATAGGGAGGTGGAGATATGCTACTTTCTATATCTATCAGATCGGGGTACGTTTGGGTATCAGACAAAACCAGTGGAACGGCTGCTCGGGACCCAGGTCATCTCGGTTTCTCCTTTTCGCTAGACCCAAGTGAGGATGTTAACACCTTAACAGAGAGATTCAGAAGAAAAGGTTTTAGCCATGGGGGAGGGTTAGTCACCATATCTTGCTACACTAGAATGTACGGAAATTGGTCCGGGTGCTCATAGGGGCCTGGCACTTGGACTTGGTTGAATACGGCTGAGATCACCTTTCCATCCAATGAGCTTTCCTGAGGCTATCCTACCTTAAGAGAGGGCCATTCTGAAGAGCAAAAAGTTATTAGTTTATTTTTCTTAATTATCACCCTCCAGTTTTAAACTCTGAAAAATGTTCAACCATCAGGGACAGAGGGGTAGTCTGTCCCTGTCCCATTTCAACCTCCTTTAAGAAAACACAGAACAAGTAAAAGACAAGTGGCTACACAACAAGAGACACCAAAGCAGATAACACAAATATCCGACACCCAGAAGAGATCTCGTTCCAGTACCACAGATTGGAGGTGCCTCCTCCCCTCCCCTGAAGGGGGCTACTCTTACCAAAAAGCACCCACAGCCTGCCTGTGAGTTGGGGAAAGGCTCCTTCCCCAACTTCTCTGGCGCGTCCGCTGGTTTCCTGATCCAGCGCGTCCGCTGGTTTCCAGCTTTTCCTGATGGACCAGTATCCTTACGCAAAGGACATATTCTGGTCCTGCCGGCTTCCTGAACTTCCCTCTATTGCAGGCAGCTTCACTCACTCCAAATTTTCCCTTCCCGGCCAACGCACCAAATGTTGTGCCCATGTTTGGAAAGGAGTGTCGGCGTGAGGAAGCCACCACTGATACGATAATGCAAAAGCAAAAGGAAAGTGTATTTGCTAGCTCGAGCTAGGGTCCCTGCTTACACTGACGCAGCGGCTTGGGCAAAAGACCCCGTGCTCTCTTACTATTACATTTTTATAGGGAAATACAGGGTGGAGTAGCACCAGGGCAAAGGGGTACAGATTGGTTGTTGCTAAGGGGTTTAGGGCAGAACTCTGAGACGTGCTGGAATCCCTGGCCCTAAAGTCCAGTTAGGGAATAATTATCTAGGGAGGATGTAAAGTCCTGATGCATGGGAGACTTGCAAGAGCCAGGTAAAGCTCTGATACGTACTGGAATCTGGAGGGGAGATAAAAGCCCTGAGTCGTGGGATGCGTTAGAATCCCTGGTACTAAAGACTTCTGGTTACAGAATTACCTGGAGGCTATTAGGACTCAGGCCTCACAGTAGCACAGTGCCTAAGGCATCTGACTGCTAACCAGAAAGTTGGTGGTTCAAACCCACCAGCCCCTCTGCAGAAGCAAGAGTGGGCAATCTACTTCTGTAAAGATTTACTGCCTTGGAAACCCAGTGTGGGTCGCTATGAGTCAGAATCAACTCAACAGCAGTGGGTTTGGGTTTGGGTTTGATATTGTGCCTTTTAGTATTTATAAATGTTTTTGGTATTTAAAGCTGTCAGTTTTTTACAGAAGAGTTGGATATACTTTTCAAGAACCCATATAAAAGTACTTATAAAACTCATCATTCTCTTCACATTCCATCAAAATCATAATATTAGGTAATCACAAAAATACTATTTGTTTCTTACTATACACTTTTTTCTTTTTTAAGCTTGAAAATCTGTGGAGCAAAATAATGTTCCTCGAAATAGGGAAACCAGAGGCTAGTAACAAGCAGGGCCTTGCTGGCTTCTTGGTCATCTGGCTCGTCTGTGTTAACCTGCCAAAGACTAAAAGACATAGGTATTTGTTTGTTTTAATTTCATATTTTTATTAATATGTATATTTTACTGAAAAATAAACCAAACCCACTACCATTGAGTTGATTCCAATTGATAGCATACCTACATAAAACAAAATGAAACACTGCCAGTCCTGCACCATCCTCACAGTGGGTGCCATGGTTCAGCCCATCATTGCAGCCACTGTGGATCTTCCCCTTTTTTGCTGACCATCTACTATACCAAGCAGGATACCCTTCTCCAGGGATTGGTCCCTTCTGACAACATGACCAAAGTACAAGAGACAAAATCTATCTATTTTCACTTCTAACAAGCATGCCAGCTGTACTTTTTCCAAGACAGACTTGTTTATTCTTGTAGCAGTCCATGGTACCTTCATCCTTCTTTGCCAATACCACAACTCAAATGCATCAATTCTTCTTTGGTCTTCTTTAGTCATTGTCCAGCTCTCACATGCATATGAGGCTATTGAAAATACCATGGCTTGGGTCAGGTGCACCTTAGTCTTCAAAGTAACATCTGTTTTTTATAGCCAATTTAAATAAGTGCAAATGAGAAACACAATTACAATGGAAGTATAGCATATAAATGCTTATAAATTGATTTATAAATTAACATCCTAATCTAGGAAACATTTATAGAGTTGGTGGACTTTATTGATTTTCTTTTTAAAGTAATTGAAGAAAAGCTGAGACCAGATTTAACTTCCTCTTTCTGACATGAGCATTACATAAATATGAATTTACAGAGCTTGTTTACTACCCATTCTAAGAATATTACACTGCTTTTCAGAGGATGAAGCTGCTCCAGATGGTGCTGTTGCAGAATACAGAAGAGAAAAACAAAAATATGAAGCTTTGAGGAAACAGCAGGCAAAAAAAGGAACTTCCCGGGAAGAACAGGTAAGTTTTCAAAAACCAAAATCCATACAAAATTCATTGCCTTTGTATGGCATTCAAATGTTATAAGTGGAACCTAAGATGAAAAATAATATAAATATGTAGAGTGGGTTGACCATGTATACAAAGATCCATATTTTAGTCTTTCCATACATTTTAGGCAAATAACAATCCTAGAACTTTCAAGTTCCAACCTTCTACTCCCATATCAAGCACAGGGACTTTATAAAGCCACATACCAAATTCTCAGTTAGGACTTCTGTCTAAGTAAATATTATGAAGTGGAGAAGTGCTGATTATAAAATGGAAAAGGGTCTCCTAGCCCAGCCTCTCATATGCTAACTAGCTCAGCCTGATATCCTACACTGCCTGGAAATAAGGCATTTAGCCCACTAGTTCACATCCACTGTAGTAATATTACAAAATACTGCTTATTGCAAGTAATCCTTAAACTCTTAACTAGTAGTATTAAAATTTAAAAAAGAAAGAAAGAAATTGTGAGAAACCAAGAATGAAAAGAGATAGGAATAGTTTGAGAATCATGAGTATACCCCATGCAGCACTTAGAACTTGATAAGACAAATCTTTTTAGCAAATTTTCATGTTAAAAAGCAAGGGGGTACAATATACCCTAAAGAAGTGAGAGCCATAACAAGAACAGATATATGCACGCCGATGTTCATCGCAGCACTATTTACAATAGCCAAAACTTGGAAAC